TTCATTATGATAACATTGCACTTTGTGAGTAATAACATGCACAAACGTTGTACTTATACATTATTCCAATGCAGAATTGTTTAAAATAGAACATATACACATATTTGTGTGTGTGTTTTTTTCCGTGCTGTGGTGTGGTCATCTGTGTTCCAGTAAACCCTTGTGGATTACGTTGTGACACATGTTGAGATCATGCTTTAGCACCTCTCTCAAGGCTGCAGGTGTGAACAGATCCTTTCTGTCGTATGTTTAAACTCCACAGACAGAGGCACAGGTACTTTGGCGTTGTACTGTTTCCATGCCTCAGTAGCCTTTCCATGCCTTCATTTGCTTATGGAAAATGTTACGTATTGCTTTACTAAAGAGAAAAACGGTGCTTTTGTGATGTCGTATGGATATAGCATAGGCTTGTTTTATTTATAAATATGGACTGAGCGTCTACCATTCAACCATTTAGGGGAATTTACAAAAAAAAAAAAAGTTCTTATACTGATGCGTGATTTGTTCTTGATTAAATCGGATCATTTTTATTTGGATTGAATCTGGTATTAAAGGGATAGTCACCTAAAAATTTAAATTCAGTCACTCATCTTAAAAACAAGTATGACATAGTTTCTTCTGTGGAACATAAAATAAGATATTTTGAGAAACAAAACATTATTCAAAATATTTTCTTTTGTGTTCCACAGAAGAATAAAGTCATACTGGTTTGGAAAGATGTGAGGGTGTCAGAATTTTCATTTTTAGGTGGAGTGGAAAAAAAATTTCATTTGGGGTGGGTGTGATTACAAGTGGACAGCACTAAATACAGGCAATACATACAGGCATCCGTCCTAATGCATCCCAGACAACATCAAAGGACCGCCTACTCACCTGTCAATCATCTGTTGCACTGAAAGAAGTGCTCTAGATTTTGCGTTACATATGGCTAATAAAAAATAAATAAAATAAAAGTGGAAAACAACCACCCGAAGGAACAAAAAGAGAGAAACCAATACATATACTGTGCAGACTTACTGCACAGGACATCCTCATAATGGTGTATGCAGTGACACAGATAATTCACTTTGAATAAAAATGTCTGCTAATTGAAATTAAAAATATAGATCATGTGAAGAATGTTCAATATGTAAACAACTATTAATAACTCAGATCGGTGTTTGTGATGAAATAAAAAATTACATATATGAGATAGGGCTGTGTATCGGCAACGATACGTATCAAGATACAGGGGTTGCGATACTGTAAGCAAGGCGATATATTGGGATATTTCTTATATTAGGAATAGGATATACATTTTAGAAAAGCTGTCATTATGAAAACTTCACCACATGCAAACCTTTTTAAAAAAAAAAAGTTATTTAACCAGAACACAGTGGGATCTGCCTTTGCATTAATTAGTCCCTGTAACATTCAACGTCACTGAATCACTTTTTGTGCAATACGAGTAAAGGGTAAAAAATAAAGTGCTTGCAGGATTCTTTAGTTAAATTAAATGTATAAAATGCAAGCTGTTATAAACAGACCATATATATTTTTAGACCCTGCTTTAAAGGTTCACAGTTTAAAATTGTAACATACCATGTCATAACATTTTGATCTGAACAAAATAATTACATCTGCTTTATATCAATGAATAATAAAGTGCTTGCAGTAAGCTTGCACTCCAAAAGTAAAAGTGTGCTTCATGACTTACGTCATATCAAAGTCTAGTTATGAACGTCAAGGATAAAAGATTTGTAGCCATTTTTAGTCATTTAAAACACATCCTCAATTATCTAATTATGTGCGGCTTGGATGCGGCGTCCATCAAAAATAGACTAGGCGCCTATCTTTAGCGAAGCAGCGTGGAGAGCCGCTTCTGGAGCGTACCCCGGCGCGGCTGCTATAAACACAAGCATTGACTAGAGTGACCGCGATCAGCTCCGGTTGTCGTGGAGCTGTAATGCGCCGCAGACGTGCGTGTTCTTCGAACATTTGACGCTGGAATTGCACATTTTACACACAGCATGACTTTTGTCAATCTCTTTTTTGCCATGTCTGTAACGAAAGCCGAAATGACGCCACACTTCAGCTTTGTACAACACCCCTAATATGAGAGCAATTCTCTGTCGTCCTTTCTGCCTTTTTCTTTAAATGCTTTAACTTTTTTTTTTTTTATTCTAAAGAAGGAAACTTATAGGTTGTACTTCAACTAGACCTGTGTAACTTGCTTTCAAACAAATCACACGTCATCTGAAGATAAACCTCAGTAAAAGTCAGTAAAAATCTCCTTTGCTAACCTGTCTTGCCTTAACAATGAAAACTCTGAGAACAACAGAAGGCCGTTAGACTTTATGATCTATAAGAGAACTGCTGTGCTCCTGCTCAAATTTATAGGCACTTATGAAGGTGCCTGACTCGATATTTATAAACCCAACTTCAAAAGAAATCAGCACCTGCTATCAGGTTTGAAAGCTTCTCTGCTTGTAAATAAATATCCATATGGCAAGTTTATAGACACTAGCAATTTAATATATTGGAACAAACATAATTTTACCACACATTAATATTTTATGGGGCATTGAATATTACTGCATTGAAGCTGAAGCTTTTATTGCGTATTGTATTTTTTATACCTTTAAGTGGACAAAGCACTTTAACTGCTATTATCATTATGACTTAAGCCTTATTGTGGTAACTCACTTAAAGCATGTTGTTGTGAACATTTGGTGCTAGTGTGCTTGTTTATGGATATTAAGGGTGTTTCTAAATCTTAAAAAAGTTTACTTAATCCAATTTGTTAAAGGTGTTAAACGGTTTTACTATTTGCAAACTTGTGTTTCCTTCACCAGCTGCTTTGGTGGTATTTTATTGCAATATTAGAGTTTTCAGTGCAAATTGTTGACATCTGAATATCAGAAACAACAAACAAATTTATGGTTTATTACTCATCCTCATAGTTTTACTTTACTAAGGAATGACCTGTTGTGTGCTGCTTTAATGCTTTAATTCTGCTCATCAACTAAGTCGATTGTGCAACAAAATCTGCCAGGCTCATTATTACTCAAACAAACTGTAACAGCTGCATGCCTGTGTGCGTATGCTTGTGTGGGTTTTCCTGTCGACATAGTCCTAATGAGCCAGTATAATAATTATCAGTCATTCTGTCTGCACTTAATTAATGAAGTATTAATAAGTTTACAACACAGTTTGTGCTGTTTTGTCAGTGTGTCTCCACAAAATGCAGGTCAGTCATTTTAAAATGATACCCTTCTTGTCAGTGTTGGAGCTTTTACATTACCTGTCAAATGGAGATTCAGTCTGTACCATTCAGTATGTCAATCCAGCGTGATCTCGTGAGAATTTGTATGTATTTTTACGTAAAGTGTGGTTGCACCACACATAAATTTACTTGCCTTTACATAGACACTGAAACGTACAATATTGACAGCATCTAAATGTACAATATTGACATATTGACATCATCTAAAACATAAATTATTAACATTCAATTTGAACAACTTTACATATATACACAATAATCCTTATGAATATTGAAATCATGACATTTAGATTTTATTGTATTCGGTCGGCATTGTGTTTTCAGTCGCATTTATTAAAGGGGCCATATGACGTTGCTAAGAAGAACATTATTTTGTGTATCTGGTGTAATGTGATGTGTTTAAGTGGTTTAAGGTACAAAAAACACATTATTTTCCACATACTGTACATTATTATTGCTCCTCTATGCTCTGCCTTTCTGAAACGTGTCGATTTTTACAAAGCTCATCGTTCTGAAAAGCGCGGTGTGCTCTGATTGGCCAGCTATCTAGTGCGTTGTGATTGGCCGAATACCTCGAGCGTGTGACTGAAATGTTACACCCCTTACCAGGTTCAGAAAACTTTCCTCCGTAAAATGCGCAATAATACTACTACAGCGAGAATAAAAGTTATGCCTTATTTCTTTGCGTATACTTTTGGGCGGTGTTATGCAAATCTTCCCACACAGTGACATAGATATGTGGGGGCGTGTTTGAACGAGGCGTTTTACGAAGGCGTGGCTGAGCGTTCACTTTTATAAAGAATATATCTTTGGGTTTGAGACTTTAGTCTTTGCGACTTTACGGATCTTCTGTATGCACGAACAGCTTTTAACACTCCAAAGACAAAGGAAAACATGAAATCGCATCATATGACCCCTTTAAACGCAGTTTACACATTTACGTAATATGAATTGGTAACATTTCGTTCTGTTCTATGTGACTTCTGTGCCTACATTTCGAAGAATTACATGTTAAACAAGACTACACTTTAAAACCTATATATATATATATATATATATATCAACAATGCAACATAAAATCACAAAAATTATCAATTGGTCTATTGCAGTGGTTTTCAATCCTGTTCCTCCGGACCCACTGCTCTGCACATTTTAATAATAATAATAATAATACATTTTTTTTAGTATAGCGCCTTTAAAAGAGTACTTTCTCAAAGTGCTTTACAACACAAGCAAACACAAAAATCCAAAGTAATACACAAGAATACAGAGTAACAATCAGTTAAAAGCAAGACGAAAATAAAAAGTTTTAAGATGAGATTTAAAAATACCTAACGAATTTGCTTCCCTGATGTCAGCCGGGAGAGAATTCCACAATTTGAGGGCATAAGATGAAAATGCCCGATCACTGCGACTAGGAATTAAAAGCTCAGCCAAGTACTGAGGAGCCAGACCATGCAGTGCCTTGTATGTTAACATTGTTAACATGAAATCAATACGAAATCTAACCGGGAGCCAATGCAACAATTCCAAAACCGGAGTTATATGATCAACAGCCCTGGCCCCTGAAAGAGTTCTGGCTGCTGAATTTTGTAAATGTTGAAGTTTGTTAATACAAGATTTTGAGACTCCAATAAGAAGGGCGTTACAATAGTCTAGACGAGAATAGACAAACAAATTAATTAACCTTTCAGCAACAGAGAAAGACAGCACTTAGCACTGTATTTGGCTTCAGTAAGCAGCAGCATCGCTCTCTTCTGTGTGTGCAGCTCTGTGGCAGAGTGTCTGGACGCGGCGCTGAACACGCTGTCCCGTGCGCTGGAGGACAACCGCGAGGACACTGAGGTGTGGTGTCACTATCTGACGCTGTTCTCGCGGCGCGGCAGCAGAGAAGAGGTTCAGGAGATGTGTGAGATGGCCGTGGAGCACGCGCCGCACTATGACGTCTGGTGGACTGTGAGTGGAAAGACAGTGGCATGTTTAAGCGCCACGCGTCTGAGCAGCTGAAGAGCTGTGGTCTGTGTCTGTCTTTCAGTACATGAGCGTTGAGAGCGGTTTCGAGGGGAAGGATTACCTGTGTGGGCGTCTGGTTTCACACCTGCTGGAGGCGTCACATGACGTCAGGTCGGATGTGCAGTCGTTCCAGCTGCTGGAGTCAGTGCTGTTCAGAGTTCAGCTCAGTGTGTTCACAGGCCGTCAGCACAGCGCTCTCAGCATACTCAAGGTACCAGTCTAATCTACATAAACATATACCACTGGCAGATGAACACCGTTTCAGTCAAAACTGGACTTTTTGTTTTGGATTGTCCACTGTTTTATAGTTTTTAGTACTTTAAAAATATGCTGTTTTCACTTTATCTTTTGTGAAATGTGATTTTTACTCATTACAAAAAATGCTCATTTACAGATGTTCTGATTTATGTCTAATCCAGTTTTCTTTATAACTACTAAAAATAAAAGGAAAAACTAAAAAAGAAAATTGAAAAATATAAAATACAAAAATTAGATTTAAAAATAAAATCTCATTTAAATCAAATTAAAGGGATAGTTCACCCACAAATGAAAATTTGCTGTTAATGTAGGTGACTTTATTTCTTCATTAGAACAGAAAAGAAGATTTTTAGCTGAAACCATGGTCACTGGTGATTCATTGAAAAAAAAGTGAAACAATCAGTCTTTGAAAGAGACTGAACATTATTTACAACGTGATTACTTGTAATCCAGAGCCTCATTCTCAACAACGGGCAGCTGCTGATTTGTATTTTATGAAAAAAAGAACCACGGTTTCATCTAAAAATATTCTTTACAGTTTTACTGAAGGAAAAAAGTCACCTACATCTTGAGCCCTATTCGCACGGGATTAGTATTACCTGGTGACCTCCAGTCATTTGT